TTTGTTTTCTAATCAAAACAGTAAGTGTGGCACCTTTCTGAAATCTTTGTTAAATGGGCAATTTTTTTATGTAATGTAAAGTTATAGCTCAGTACATTTTTTTTCACCCGAGATAGTCAAAGTTGGGGAAGAAAATATCAAAAAGTTAAAAATCCAGAAATAGTCCTAATTTTATGATGGTTCCTTAATTTATTTTAACTACATTGCATTTGAGTATGGAGAGGCAACTATCTGGAAGTATTTTACATAAAAAATTTACTAAGTATTGCCCGGTTTGTAGTTGCAGTTAAAGAAAACACATGAAAAGGCACGATTTTTTTTAAATTCGAAAAAATGTAAATATTTCAAAAACGGTGACACTTTTACCTGAAAATTTTTTGTTTATCAGTGAGCTCACCCCCCCACCTACCTTGCCCTAAAGTTTGGCACGTTACTTCTGGGACACCCTGTATATATTTGATATATTTTATTTCCCCCTTTATTTTATCGCACAGATCCCGTCATGACTCTAATACCCGGCCAAGAAGTGAACGTCGGTTTTCTTATGGAAGAGCGTAAAAAACTCTTTGATATGGATCTCAATGGGCCACCTTTCGACGACCTACGCAGCTTCACCTTTGAGGGCAGCGGTATCATAGCCGAGTCGCTGAGCTCTTTGGCCTCAGGTGCGTACCGGCACACTCCGAACACCATCGCCACCACTTCTTTCATGCGCTGTAATTGTTGCTAATGTTGTTATTGTTACTAACAATAGAACAACATACTGTCTTACTCACTTGTAGTTTTATGTATTAACTTAAACCTCATTACAGGCACTGACGATGAGAATCAAGACTACAACTATCTGTCCGGTTGGGGACCGCAGTTTAATGCATTGACCGCAATGTATGTGCATCATGACCGAACAAAGCTGACGAGAAAAGTCACAACGAATGAAGCAGCCATAGCAGCAGCAACAGCCACCGCTGTGGCAGTGCAAGGCGGCGCAACAACAAATATTTTGGCAGTGGCGACGACGGCTGGTACCGGGGCAAGAACAACGGGGATGGGAAGGCTGGTTAAAACGGCGGCAGCGGTTATTCAAGAAGAGAATGAAGATGCTGAGGATGGAGGAAATGTGGCGTTATAAAATTGGAGAAATACGCGCAAAGTTGGTGAAAGGCGAAACAGGAAAAGGTCGATTTAAAGACCACGCGTGCATGGAGTCGGTCCAGGGTACTTGCTTAGTAACCTAGTAATAGTGCGAGTATGTCGGCTTGTAAGCGGACATGGTAATTAAAGTCAGTGTAAAGAAAATGCAACTTTAACGAATATTTTGGCGAATGGGTGATGGGGTATACTAGCGTCCATTAACTAGAGCAGGCCTAAAATACAAAATGTAAATCATAAAAAACGACGAAGACTAAACATTATGCAGAAAAGGTAGTCAGAAAATATCATATGCAGCTGAGCTGGGCTACCGCCAGGGTAGCCAACTCATTTTTGAGAATTCCGCGATTTCGACAAGGAAACTCCCCGATTTTGCCCGAAATTTTGTGAAATTCCCCACTCATAGATATCTCCTTATTTACAAAAAAATACACAAAAATTTAATGTATTTTGGTATATTGCTGGTCTTTCTGTTTATTTTATTTTGAAATGTAATTCATCTATGTATTCATAAACCAAACCAAACAATTATAAAGTTGGTTAACAAATAAATAATAAAAAATGTTTATATAATATATACGTACATACATATATGTACATATTTACGTATAGTGGTCGAAAAAATTTTAGTCGCATCAGTTATTTTTATTTCGTTATTTGATTTGAGTTATTTTTTTATAAAAATATAGTTCATTTTTTAACAAATAGCGAATAAATCCAAGTTTGAAACTGTGTGCAATAATTGAAAAAAATTCAACAAACTTTTTTAAAAAATCGAGCTTTTTAACTCGATTTTCTAGAAAGATTTTGAGTATGCCATTTTGTAGCCCACTCAATTCTATTTTAATAAAGATCAAGTTTCAGGTGTCCAAAAATTTTCGTTTTAAAATTTTTTGCCGAAGCTTTTGCGGGTTTCTTCCATATGAAAATAATTTATGTTTATTCGTTATTTGAAAGCAAATGCAGCAAACTAAATTCTAAAAAATCAATGGTAATTTTTGGCGATTTGAAACTTTGTTATATTAGAATTGAACGAGCTGAAATTCCCCACAAAAAACGGTCCATTCCCCACGCAAACTGAAATTCCCCGCAAATCGGGGAATTCCCCACGAGTTGGCTTCCCTGGCTACCATTGTCATAGTGGCATGTGAATATTTCCTTTTCCCGCTCTGCATAGTTACAACAACAAAATTATGAACGCACTTGTTTGGGACTGTGAGCGAAGTATTCGGTATTAGACATGTTTCTCTGACAATNAGCAAACTAAATTCTAAAAAATCAATGGTAATTTTTGGCGATTTGAAACTTTGTTATATTAGAATTTAACGAGCTGAAATTCCCCACAAAAAACGGTCCATTCCCCACGCAAACTGAAATTCCCCGCAAATCGGGGAATTCCCCACGACTTGGCTTCCCTGGCTACCATTGTCATAGTGGCATGTGAATATTTCCTTTTCCCGCTCTGCATAGTTACAACAACAAAATTATGAACGCACTTGTTTGGGACTGTGAGCGAAGTATTCGGTATTAGACATGTTTCTCTGACAATTCTTTGACCTTTCCTTAGAGGTGGGTAACTCAGCACTGTGCTGAGTTACTGTGCTGACTCTTAGAANCTTGGCTTCCCTGGCTACCATTGTCATACTGGCATGTGAATATTTCCTTTTCCCGCTCTGCATAGTTACAACAACAAA